TATAAAAGCACTTCAATTTCAAACTCTCACTCAGGAGAATTTGTAGGTGTTTGAGGAGCTCCATTGGACAAGGCTCTGTTCGTCTATTAGTTACAGGTCTGGAATCCTCTCCCTATAGTGGCTTGTAACTAACCAAAAATTCGTATTGAAATATAGATAACGGTAGCTTGCAGTGCCGTCGGAGGTTTCATAGGATAAAATGGATCATGTTGGTTCCCAAAATCGTTTTGTGTTTTGCAAAGGTCTCATCAAGTAATATTTTCATCAATCGTAGATGCTTTTATCAACACTACAATGTATATGAAATTATTTCAATATATCTATCATCTTGTCATGAGTTCTGTAATCTTATGGTAAAATCAACAGCGATTTTAACAATAACCGTAATTATATGATGGTTACTTTTTCTAGAAAGTTTTATGCTCTTCAATCTAAGAAGTTGAGCCTTGTATAGGACAATTTTGGCAGATTTTCAATACAATTGAGTGCTTAGAAAACATAATATCTTTCGTTTGACTGAAAATATTATGATTTTAATATCACATGAATTTTATCTTGAATAAGAATTTTTATAAAAGCCTTCAATGTATATTTTTTTAAATCACTTTGTAACAATTTTGTCTTGTTTTAAGAGATTTTACGTTTGAGTTATTTGGACGAATAATAATGTCAGCTGTGGTACATTGTGAATCTAAAAAATCATATAAATATTAATTATTCACATAATGTCAATATTTTAAAGAAAAATGATCATGATTCATTTGAATTAAATTCAAACCTTAGCTTCAAAATAAGGGATTGCACGGATGAAAATAAACATCAATTATTTCAACTTTATCCATCATTTATGTTGGTGTCAATAGTATCTCCAAAACGTATGATGTATGTCACAACCCTTAAGAAATACTCAAACACTACTTCCCTCCATTGTAAAAGACTTATAAATTAACTTTATTTTCATTTAGAATGTGAGTAATATAATACCCAAAAAAGCCATGAAAGACTTGGTTGGGCTGCAAAAATGGGACTCCTAAATAAAACCATATTCACGTCCCGAAGCCAAAATTCTTGTGGCGGAATGATCGTCGGTATAATTTGTGTATTGCATGCATTATGCTGCAATTCGGACCCTGACTTTCCTTTCGGGGGAAGAATAAGAGTCGTTCGGCGAGAAAGTCGCCACTACGACTTGACTATTTTGCTCCACTACTCGTTGCCCACCTTTTTACTAAAGGAAAATTGAAGATCATATACACGCGCTTATTTCCTTGACAAAATTTATATATCTTCATAAAATAAGAAAAATGAACATTTTTAGTTTTCTAAAAAGCATCAAAATATGTTATTTTAAAGGGCCCGCACGACTCTATTTACCACCAAAGAGAAAAATCGAAACACGAAATTGCAGGGAAGCTCTTCCACATCACAAGATGTCACCTCCACACATTCCCTGAAACAATGGTAAGTCAATGATAATGTGGCAATAGCTCCATGTCTATCATGTCGCAAAACACGTATTATTATAGTCTTCCCATCGTTTTGCCTATCCATTTGGCCACTTTGTATCACATCGTAGGACGTGTATAAGTCGAGACTGGATATGAGAAGATGGATAAGCATGGAACAAAACACGATGGCCAAAAGGGGCTCCTTGCCTTACTCCTAAAATCCGTGGAGCTACTTGGCAGCGAGTAACGACCAAGCAAAGATACAAAGATCAAAAGCCAAGCAAGGGCCACGGAGAAACCAAGCAAAATCCGGTGGAGAGCTCGGCGTGCGAAATGGTGGAAATAATATCCACACCAAATCCAAGCTCCACCAATAAATAATCTACTGCTCTGCCGCTCCATTAATATTCCCCTACAGTATGCACAACGACATCCTACGAGCAAACGAAATCTTGCCCATGCTTAGCCAACGGTTGTGCCGCAATTATCACTAAATTAAGTTCTCACCGGTAGGGAAAATCAGATTTATTTCCCTTAGCATCAGATTCATTCACCGGCTCGGTCACTCGCTTCCTACCATCGGTACGAACCCTCAAATTAATTCCCGAGATACAATTTGATGTTGGGGCTGTATTTCGTCTTAATTACTCGTTTTTTTTCACCAAGCGTAATCAATCCCATTGCGAAAGAGTTTAATCGAGAGAGGTCCATATTTTATTTTATATTATATTATTGCGGATTTCCAAAGCGTATCCGGTGGCGGTTTAATCATTTCAGGCCGAGAAAGTGGCGAGACTCGTGAGAGAATCAGGGTTTGACCGGAGGGGCGGGCATGGCGGGTTTTCTTACATTCTCTCGGTGGTCGCTGCGCTGTGGGGGCCATTGCGATCTCTCATGGATTTGACGTCGTCCCTGAAGGGTACGGAGAAAATGATAACGTCCGGAATTGATTCATTCGGGCGGCGAGTGAATAAGTTCCATGCGCAGCGCTTGAAGCTGCAAGATTTGTTGGGCCCCAAGTTGAGCCTGCAAGGAGAGCTTTGCATGAAGCACTCACTCACTCCCTCGCTCACTCACTCACTCACTCACTCCATCTCCATGTCCTTGTGCGGAAAATCCTGCCACAATGATTTCGCGTCCTGATTTTGTCCCGTCACAGTGGCGATCGAAGCATCGATGGCGTCGTTCTGAGATTTCATGCAGTTGTGCGCTTTGCAAGAATGACGCAGTCACGGCAGACAAGACCAAATCTCACCATGCCACTTTTTTAATTCCTTTAACCCGGATTATTATTTCTTCGCCCGCTTGCCTTTTCTGGGGCTGCTGCTGGCTCCAGAGCGTCGAAAATCGTAGACTCGTACGTGCCCTGCCGAAATTTACTTTGAGGCCCTTTCGCCTCCGGAAAGCCCTTTTCTCGCCCTCTGGAAAGCAAGCCTCTCGTCGATCTTCTCTTCTGTTGTCTTCTCTGAGAGCCCCCTTGTCTAATCAGCTCGGGGAATGATGGAGAGTGTGCGACTTTTGCAGCCCCGTCGTCAGTCATGCGGGAGGGAAAGCCCCTTTCCCGGGCCACATGAGTAGTTGGAGTCAAAGAGATGAATGTACTCAAGGTTTGGTTTTGGTAAATGTATTTTTACTTTTGGGTCAAATAGTTATTGCTGTGTAATCATCTTACTTCCATTTGTAATATGTTTAATAGAGAATGATAATCTAGTGCCTTGAATAAGTGGCGTGTAAACTAGTAACAAGCAATGCTTCGAGTAAAAAGGATAAGGATGTGTAGCAAATATTGTTTGCTATTAGCATTGTATTTACGGATTTAGAATTGAACTTGTTAGTGTGAACGGGATAGTGAAATCTTTCACTATTCCGTTCATCATGAAATAATACAAATCTTAGTACTATCTTATGAGAATTTTGAATGATTCTGTTTCATATCTCTTGTAAAGAAGTAAATAAATTATACACAAAGAGACTTATGATTTTTCATGTTGATATTGTTTATCAACCGTTGAAACTAGATGGTTTCGATATTATATGCTATGTGGTACATAATTTCCATTGTGAAACTGTTGAAACACTCAATTTCTCTTCCTTCTTTGAACATAGATAGTGACTTACCATCTTTATTTTCTTTATCTACTTTGGCCCCCCTTGGACATATTCCAGCGGGAATAACTGTGCTGAAGTGCATTCTCATGAAATCCTAGCTAAAAAAAAAAAAGTAAAAGGATGATACTTATGTTTGGGATTTCTCAACATGTTGCGAACTGAAGTCACGGTGATAACCACTATAGAGTATTGAATCCACCTTTCACACTGTGAAGTCAAATATCGTAAGTCTAGCACGTTCAATAAAAAGCTAACAACTATTTCTATGTATTCTGGATACTTGCGAGAATATAATATAAAAAATGAAAGATCTGACCCGACTGTTGCCCATACCAAGGTTATCTCACATGCTTCGTAATTGATCACTTTCGATGTTACTTTTTGGAAGGCTATGACACAAAATGCTAGTAGCATTTTGTGTCACAGAAGATCTTCGCATTAAAGAAAATATCCACCGTATCGAACGAGGATCAACATTTACAGATTTTTGGCAATTATACACTACCGAGTTTCCTCTCCTACTCTTTTTTCCCGGCAATGTACTGCATACCGTAAAATAACAAGGAGCAGCCTCAAGAGCGACGACGTGTCCACGTTTACACTTTCACGGAAAAGTATCATGTTTCAGAAACACAGAATTCTGCCATTTGCGAGCAGCGCAGCGCGTAGTAAATGATTCTGAAAAGGCGGGCCGATAACAATTCGAACCAAAACCGTTCAAAATGAACAGTCGTTGTCTATCCGTTTCGCAAGGCAATTTCCTCCCTTTCCGCCCTGTACGAGTACACAATCACTACAGGCGCATCTACCCCGCGACTGCGTGTGACTGCAGTTTACATCCTACAAACCAACTCATCTGGCTCCATAGCGGCCGACAAATCTCGGGACTATATTCCACGAATTCAGCCACTCGATTCTGTCAAATATGGCACGTTACGTCCTGACATCGATGACAAAGTCTGTACGTACGACTCGTTCCAGGCGTTTCCGATTAGGTCTGCCAATCCCGTACCGAGCATGGGTGAGAAAAATGTAGGAAGTACGACTCTACTCCGAACCTTCTCAGAGTAGACTACGCTTGTAAAAGTTTCTCCAGTTCGATCCAGGTGCTCACCTGGATGGACACACGAGCGATGATCCACATACAAGAGGCGCTTCCATCGTTTCACCAGCTATTGAACCGACGATTTTGGCCAAAAGCATTCGAAAGAGATGAAAATTTGGTACGGAAGTCAGGATCCGCATGTACTGAACGAAACGAGATCCATGAGTGAGACTGTCAAAACATATCGAAGTTCGTGACGTATCCAAGTCCGTGTAGTCTGTGCGTGCAGACTATTCTTCGCTGAACTATACTATTCCCATCAAGAAAATTTACCAAATCATTCCACACAATGACAAACATTTTATTTCCACCGAAAAAGAATCAAACACACGAATGCTGAGCAAAGATCTTCTTTATTGCACATAACCTGAAACAAATTTTCTAAATCTCGATTTGCTGCATCCTGGGGCGATGTACAATCTCATCCAAGTGGGCCACTGAAAAAGTGTTACTTCCGGCATTTTGAAGACACTAACTCCTTCGCAAAACAAGAAGGCAGTTTCCCACACTTTGGATACCAATTTTGTCACGAACTGCTGTATAATCCTAGTTTCCTTGCTGCTACTGGGTAATGATGGTATCCACAAGAGTAGAGAGTCTAGTAGTAGCCAGCATAGTATCCAGCTTGCTGAGCTGTGGGTGGCAACGGCTGAGGTGGAGCCGGGGGAGGAGGGGACCTGTAAGTGGGGGCACTTTGAGCGTATCCCGGCTGTTGAGGGAATTCCTGCAACCACAGAACCATTCAAATGTTTAATTCGAAAGATCTGGGAAAGAACACATCTAGGTGATGATAAATCGAGTCTTGTGGCAGCGGCCGTGGTAGAGCTCTTCTTCCGGTGCAGCGGGGGAATGAACAGGCCGACGCCCCAGTTACTCAGTGCGACGTAGACGTAGATAATAGTTGACCTCTCTGACAAAACTCGTGGATAATGCTTTCAAAAAAGTGTGCCTAACCCACCACAGACCCAAAAGGTGCTCATACCGTGGAGTATGCCAAGACCATGCCGTGCATACTCTGCAAATCACCATCCACCATTGTTCCACCCGTTCACCTCCTGCTGGAAATACGACAACCCATGCAAGAGATTAAGGGACTGGTGACCTACTCCCTTCCCCGGAGAGTTTGGGCGTGGCATACATGACATGAGGATCGCACATAAATGGCTAATGACCGACGATCAACCACAGTATATTCTAAACAGCGTACCTGTGGAGGATAGCCTTGATATCCACCGTAACCAGCTGGTTGCTGAGGAGGTGGCTGCTGCTGAGGTGGCCCGTAAGCGGCATATCCGCCATATCCTCCATATCCACCCTGTACATCCTACAACATCGAGATGCTCAAGTCAGAAATTTAACACATAACTCAAGCACGGAATCATTTACAACATCCTCAAAACGAACGGCAAACAGCTAGAAGTACTCGATGGACACCAACCTGCTGACCCCCGTAGCCTGGATTCCACTGTTGCGGTTGCACTGGTGGGGCCTGGGGTGGAGGTTGCCAGCCTTGGGGCTGCTGGGCATATCCTTGAGGACCATAACCTCCGCCCCATTGCACTTGCCCATTTGCGTATGCTGGAGGTGCAGGTGCTGGAGACGCTACGGTGTGTGCTCCTGCGTAGGGCTTGTGAACTTTAGCCCGTTCTGCGACACTACCGCTCTCGGGAGAAGGCCTTTTCTTAGATTCGGAAGATGACTTTCGCGGGGGAAACAATGTCTTGTGCCTTTGCTCGGCCTTCTTGACAGTAGCGACGTCACCGAACAGATCTACGAGCTGCAATTTCAAGTAGTGCTCACACTAATCAGTAGAGTAAAATCACGCGATCAAACTGAACATAACTATGGTTCAGACATAACACATGCAGTCCACTAACTAAATATTCACGTGACAACCAACGCCAAGAAGTATGCAGAAGACCTCACCTCTAGGTAGATACTTGAAAGCTCCTCACGATCAGCGGCACTCAAACCTTGCGAACCATCAGGTCTGAACGGAGCTGTGGCTTGTTCTACAAGAGAGTCCAGGCGTGGAACCCGCTTCTCGCCAGCGTGGATAGATTCGAAATGAATCACCGCCTGCAAGACCGAGCCAGATGTGTCAACCAGCGGCTCCTCCATGCTCCACATTCACCATACTATAATATCTGAGTTTCCAATAAGTTCTTGACAAAGATGAACTACGTTGATGTGTTTAAGGTTCACCGAGTAGAGTCGACTTTACCTCCCATAGAACTTTCGACGTAGGCAAGTGCGACACAGCTTCCATGTAAACTTCCCGCGCTTGATCTGTCCTTCCAATGATCTGAGAGCCACAATCTCAACAGTTCAGGCCTCAGATACAGGTAAATAGAATGGTGGAAGCAAAAACGACATCACGCATTGAATCATAATTTTGAACGTCATTACCTGATCAAGAAAACGCGCGTATTGGATGTAGAGCAAGGGTAGGGCCCTAGATTCCTCTTTAGCCTTCTCTGCCTCAATGGCAGAAACAAACAGAGATGTTGCAGCCTCAGGATTACCCTGCACATTCCGCAAAACACATCATTAATGACATGATACATGTTAGAAAATAGCCATTGCATTTTATTTTATAAACTCCGTCGTGCGACACTGTACAACTTATAACAGAGAGCCAGATTACTCCCAACTAGTTGAGACTTTAAAGTATGTTGGATTGATCCAACATACCGAAAACCCAGGGTGGGCTTCTCACCTGTCTGTGTTCAAAGTTGGCGTGCTTTATTACCGCCTCCAATAGTCCAGGAGCAAGGTCAGAACTCAAAAGCTCATACTCCGCACGTGCACCCTTAATGTCGCCTTGAAACTCTTTGAATCTGGCAGCGAACAGGTGAATTTCAGGCCGCCTCTGCAAGTAACGGACGACAAGGTTATATCACAGCAACGACAACTGTACGTGTTACTGGAACCCGATAATGATTGCTGCCAGTCTACCCTTAATATCTAATTCACTTCGGGAGAAAGTATCTTAAAACCCCCGCGTAACAGCAACAAAAAAAAAGTTGGAGTCGAGTTGATGCGTCGAACAGAAACGGAGAATCAAATTCCTACCTTAACAAAGATTTCGGTGGATCGTGTAAGAGCGTCCGCGGCAGCCTCCATATTTCCTTCCTCCTCCATTCGCTGAACGTACCTGATCCAGTACTCGGGGTAGTTCGCGCACGCTATAAGACACCTTTCGTAGAGTTTGACAACCTGACAGAAAACGCAATATTCCGTTAGCTACTACTGCAAGAAACCAGGCATGGTGAGTCCGGCTTGTAATTCATGAAGGCATCAAAAAGGCTTGTTACTTGACGAAGATCCAGACGCGAGGGAAATTATTTGAGTCTACTCCCATTGCAGCTGTAGAGACAGCGAAGATATGTGTTGCTGCGGTAAGGGGCCTTGGAAGAACATGACGATGAAACAACATCACAAAACCACAGCCTGAAAGTTGAACGACAGAATCTGGGTGAACGGTACAACAAGGGGATGAATACACACCCACGATGGGGGATGACCGGAGGTTAGGATTAGGCATGAAGATACGTAGACACTGACCTTCTCGGTGTCGCCTTCCTTCTCAATGAACTCGAGGTACCTGTGCCAATTTCCGAGCTGCATGTCATCAAGGGGCTTCACGTGAAAATACGGCCTTCTGATGGCTGTCTCAAAGTCGCGGATTTTGGCGTCCCAGTCTTTCGCTTTCTTGTAAAGCGCCTCTCGGACTCCGATGAACTTTTCGAGGTCTTCCGTTTCGGTGGACTTCTCAAGTTTTGGTGCCTCTGTATCTCCAGGAGGTGCCTCAACTCCATCCTCCGCGGCAGCGGTCTCAACAGTCGAGGAAGCAGCGATAGCAGCTTCTGCGGCTTCATCCGCACTTCGCAACTCGGAGATCGGTCTGCTGCTCGCGATTTGCTTGAAGCTGCAAAATTAGTAATCAAGTTGAGTCAATACTCTCCTCATCTCCAGACTTAAAATAAGATAGAGTGGAAAGAAAAAAATGAAAGAAATCCCCCAGCTTGACAGCTAGTTCACAATGCCACATCATCACCACAATGCAAGACTTTTAGATAACCGCTAGACGCGACGTGCAATGGGCAGGGCAGCACTGAACCCAGTGAAAGATTACGGGTAACTCGTCAAGCTGGAAGATAACGCACAGAAGTGTAGATGAACTACCTGTTGTAGTAACGGTCCAGCTGATGGAGGGAAATTTGTACAATACGAGTGTACAGCTGCGCCAGTCTGCTCCACTCCTGTTGTGTATACTCGAAATCGATGTACTTATCCCACAGAAGATGTGACAGATAGTCGGTCCCTACGTAAGTAATCCCTCTCTCAAATAACCTGACACACATAATCCAGAAACTTATCTCAACACATGAAGACGTGTGGAGCCCTAACCCTGGGGAAAGTAGTTACACTCACAAGATTAGATTAGACCCGATCAGGAAGGAAAAGCGTTGGATGAGAAGGACAAAATTTCAGTGGAACTTGCTTTCAGATGTCTAAACACAAGCACAAATGCTCTGCATTTACCTTCCTGCCAAACACTACGTCCGCGACATGGAGCGGCGTTCAGAGGCCCTCTCTTGCCCTCAATTGGACCCGATCTTCCACAGCAGCATTTGGACGCAAGTTCAGTTGTGAAATTCGCATTCCCCTCAACGAATCAAGTACTAAAACGTACAACACACAAAGTAGGGTCTTGCCTACTCCTAGAAGCTCAGAGCAGAATACACAACTGATAAAACAAGGGAAGTTGGACCACCCAGCAAAAGGAATGTGAGGTGTTCGCTCTATCAGCTGGTTATAGTTTTCTTCTCTAATGACGCGTTAAAATTTGGATTCTTATTATCCTAAGTTTGGGCAAACCGTTCCGCCAATAAGTGCTTTTCTCTGTTAGAGAAGGCATTAGAGCAGGATGGAAGCTGCAGCACGGCCAGACAAGGGTCAGAAGGAAAATGGCATAATTGAAGCTCCAATGACTGCGAACGATTCTTTTCACGCGGCAAAGGACGGTAGTGCAGGAGCTGCTGCAGAAACCCTACTGTTAAAGGCACGTAATTCATCCACTGCTTATGGTAGAAAGTCACTCCCGGTCATACCTGCGTATTTCTTCCGGGTCTTCGATTTTCTCCATCGCGTAAGAACAATAGTGCATCCAAATGTCCACGGAGTACGTCACGGCTCTCACTGCTCGCTCATACACCTCGACGATCTTCTCAGGCGTCCCCAATCTTGCTTCATGGTCCGCGTACTTCTTCCAGTATCCGTAGCAGAGAGGAAACTCCCCCAAAAACGAGTCGTAAACTTTCCGTATCTTCAAGATGTTCTCCTGAAAAGACAGTATAATAACAGATGAGAAAGACGTCATCTTCTATGAAACTCTGCAATGGGGATAAAACAGTAGCGGTCTACACCCTTCCTAGTGTCTAATGCCTGATATGAAATGAGAATCCACTCATTCTTTCCTGGGACTGAACTACACTCAAAGCTTCCTGCCTTTCACAAGCAGGTCGAAGATGAAGAACACTTCAAACCATAACTGTTGAAAGAAGTCATTCGTTAGATATGCCTGGACATCCGGACAGATAAACACTTCAAATACGGAAAATCAGTCGAGATAGATAGACGGGAAAATCGAACTTACAAGCTTCTCTGTCTCCTGGATGAGAAGGGTCCACGCATTGAAGTCCAATGAATTCGCCTTCACTACCGCCCATAGTCGGTCCTCTTCGGTGGTAGGAGCTGCACAATTTGAACCGCCCGGGTAAGAAGATCATTTCAGACGCAACACACGCATTGCAGTAAAAGGGGCGAGGAATGCACTTCGCTGGTTCAGGATCAAAATACAAAGAACTTAAAACCTTCCAAGCGTGAACAGAGAGATTCACGATTGGAAAAAAATTCAAAATTTTCAAAACTTGGAAGTCGACACAGCGCAGAAAACAGACTGACGACGTCGCGGAGATCTCCTAAGCACCTGTTGACTGTTTCAAATGTTCTCCTAACAAGTTGAAGGCATAAAACGCACGAGAGTGGGATCTTGTCTACGAAAACATGCGCGTGGATTGTATCCATGCGCCACTGGGGATGACGAGGAACAAATTCCTAACTTCCAAGTACAATAGACTGCAGCTGGAGTAGTAATCGGCCCAAAGAATTGAGCACAGCACAGAGCAAACTCCAAAGAATGAATTTTGTCATTACTTATCTCAAGTGAAAGTTTTCACAACAAAGTTTGTGAAGTTGTTTAAGATCCGACATCTACTAACCTGACGTAGTCACCATTTGGCTTTGAAAAGCCCTCATACTAACACAGAGCAAGAGAAAGGGGGTGCCAATCCAGTGCGACAAATTTTGGTTGCGACACAGAGTCCAAGTCTACTGTATAGCATGCACAAATTAATAGACTTGCCGCTAGACAGAAATCTAACGTCCGCCTTCCCAACTTGGCTCTAGACGTTCGACAGTCCTCAGAGGCAAGGTTCGTTCAAAACTTCTTTCAAAAACTTTCCAGTATTGTGAAGTATTCTTACCGGGCTCTTCCGGTGCTGGTAACTCCTCTGGGCTGATCTCGACAGGCTCGGCACTTCCGTTTGCCTCTCCACCATGTTCAGGGGAGCCTTTCTTGGCGATATCAACCATGGCCGCGTCCTCCATTGGCTCATCGGCTACGGCCATTTCCACATGCTGCTCCGCAAACTCTTGATCTCCCATACTACTTAAACTGCTTGAAGGAGGAAACGGCTATTAGCAACTCGTGTGTACCACCAGCAGTCTCGATAAAACCACTTGGCAGGTGAGACGGACGATAACAGGGGGTAAATCTTGGCAGAAAAGGATGAATAGCAGCTCAGACACCTTCCTCTCACATGAGAAACAGCGGGCCTTCGAACTCGACACTCGGAAAGCGAGGACAAGTCTTGCGACGTAGAACTAAAAAGCGTTGTGAGACATTGACGGCAGGAAAAGGAAACCCACCAAGAAAGCACCGCTGAGAGAGTGAAGGCGAGGGAAGATTTCGAAAACACTCAGAATCAAGCGCGCGTGCGAGCCAGCGGGGGCAAGGAAAGGTGATAGCGTCGTCGTGAGAGCGGGCGAGGGACGTCGGGCGAGGAGAGACGAGACGAGAGGAGGGCAGGAAGCGAGAGCTCCAGGAGATCACGAGGCTGGGTCGGTGGCGGGGTGAGAAGTGAGGGAACCTGGCAGGGAAAATTAGGTCTTGAGAAGAGTCACCCCGCCACTTCGCACTCTCAGTTACCGCCCCACTCCGATGAGGTGGACACCTCCTGCTGCTGCTGATGACTGACTGCTCTCGGCCTACTGCACCGCATCCACGCCACCGCCTCCTCTTCTACTTCTTGCTCTCTACCGCATCTGAATCTAACGTGGTTGGCCGTCCCGTCGGCTAGTTTCTTGGCCGGCTTTCCTCCTCTGTCCACAATGCCTCTCTTCTCCCTCTCTCTAGTTTGAGACGTTCCGCCGCTTCTTTCCTCACCACCAAGTCCGATCATGGATCATAATCGGACAAAAGTTGATGCTTTGGCATCTTTCCTATTCTTCGCCTTCTTTGCAATCTCCCTCACTTCATCGTTACAAGAATAAGAGTATAATTTGACTGCAACATCTTTTTTCACACTCAGTTGAAATGGCGATCTGACTGCATCAACAAAAAGTCTACAAACTTCACAGCTTCAAGAAGAAGAATCAAATTATACTCTTCAACTTTCCTTTGTAGATTTGAAATGTAAATTATTTCAAATATAGTTTTCGTTGGTACAATTATCAAAACAAAATTCTACTTCTCTTCATCTTAGATTTAGTTTGCACACTAGTCACCCCCTAAGTAATCATCACGTACGTATCATTTTTCCAAAAAAATCATGATTTGAGTTTATTCAGTTCAACATATCGTGAATTTTCATTTGGCATGAAGGTTCTTGCTTTTAGTTTTCAAAAATCTCATTCCACACAATACTTCATAACAATTCAAATATTTTTTTAAGATCATTGAATTTTTCATTTGACTCTTCTTGAACTACAAAGCAAAACAATTGATACTCTACCTCTACTACAAATTGCTTCTAGAGCGACTCGAATATCTTGATATAAAATACAACAATCTTAAAAGATAAAAATGTCATCATCATCCACATTATTAAGCAAATATCATTATTTTCAAAAGCTATTCACCGTTTTCCAAAATTACAGTTGCAAATATATCATTATTTTCATCGTCAACATAAACAAATTCTTCAAGCTCTTTTTGACTTCAAAAAGTTTGAAGTTGCAATAGCATGTGCAACGTATATCATCTTGTTAAATGCTTTATGTCAACTTCTATTTTAATTATTTTTGCTTTCACATATGAAGTTTTGATAGAGCTTGATGGCACATATTGTCAAGCTTTTTTGACATAAATTGCAGCATCGATCAAGTGAATTGAATTTCCGTATGCAATTCCATCAGCAATGTGTCATCATTTCTATACCTTTGTACAATTGAAGTTTTGTGTCCTCTATCTGTTCACAAAAGTCAAAAACATACTTCAAATTGAAATATTTCAACATCTTCTTTTAAGTTTAATTATGCACATATAGTAGTATTGTTTTTCATTTTCACAGTTTAAGGGAAGAATATTATACTAATATTGTTAAGTCCATACAACTCAAAGTCTCTAGGCATTGTCAAATATTCGACTAGTTTTGTTCATTGACTGAAAAAAAAAAACCTTTGTTAAACTACTTACAATACACTTTCAACTTATATCCAAACTTCCGCTTCATTGAATTACAAAACATATCATTGGCTATCCTTGATACATGCATGTGATTTTGATTTGACTTGGCACAAACAATAAGAGAAATTTGATTATTGGATTTTTTTTCTTTCCTCTAGTTGTTTGTATGTAGTAATCCAACGCTCTAACGTGGACCTAGCTAGTAATAAGAACAAGCAGATACTCTTCATATTGGACATATTTTTATATCATATTGATTTGTAAAGTCTTAATATTAAGCAATTCAAAATCAGATTTGTTGATTTCAGTATCACTTCATATAGCATCATCTTTTCCAACCTTTTGTGCAGTTTCAATCGACTTAATCATTGCCAAGAAGATTGAAATCAATTTATAACAATTGATAAACTAGATGCAATATTTGTTGATTTGACAATGACAAAAAATGTTGATGATGAAAGATGATGGAACAGTGAAATATGCACAACGCATGTTGTCATTCCATACATAAATCATGTCTTGAAATTTGAAAAACTACCAAAAAATTATCAAAAAATCTTCTTAATACATGAAGATGTATCGACTTTTCAATGATATTTCATGATCGTGATTCATTAAAATGTTGTTAGTTTGGTTTTTCTAACATTGAATTTATGCATGATTGCTATATTTTCTTGTACTGTTTATATTAACAAAATTTTAACATTTTTTATATATTTTAATCTTTAAAATACATTCCAATTCAATTTCTTCAACATTGCAGTTTTTTTATAATATTTGGGACTCCTTTAAGACTTCTTTATTAAATGAAATTTTTGTATGATTCTTATGATTCAATCAATCGAGAAGTTAATATCCTAAGTGTGAACAATCTTTGTAGGTTCAAGTTTTGTACTTATAAAACAAAAATAATTGTATTGCAATATGAATATAAATTCAGAAATATGTGCAAAAGTTAAAAATATATACTTTTCTAATATTATAAATTTTTATGATTAAGTTGACTTATTGTGTATTTTATGTCAATCATAATATTGCAATTAATTTCTAAACAGTAAGTATTGTTGTGTTTGGTCATTCCGATGTCGTTTGCTTTTTTCAATACTCGACATATACATCATAATACTTAATATATTAAGAATATACAATTCATATAATTGTTTAGAAAAGAACGATAGATCATTAGCCCAACATACATAATTATTTGTTATCATCATTGTTTCAAACATATATAAACAAAGTTAATTTGTATAATGTGATCATGTTTATTCCAATCTATATTTTGTATCTAAGGTGATAACACATAATATATATCATTGTACATATTTGTAAGTATAGCAAAAAATTTGATTTTTGACATAGCATGATATTCAAAGTCTTTTTGAACTTTTGTTATTTGCAAAAACGTATACAAGTACACGAAGTTAATATGTCAATTAAATGTAAATATGATATTTTTTATATATATGTATATCCTCATTGGAATTGTCTAAACTCTATTTATTTCTTCTTATTTTTAACATCATTTTTCAACATTCATTAGTTACGTCTATACAATAAATTTATTGCACATTTAAAAATATGTTCACATATGTTGCATTGTTGACCAATTTTTATTTTTTTATACATCTACAATTTGATTATTAAACTAACCATGTATTATTTGTTGCTTGCATGTTTTAATTTACAAAATAAATAAAAGAGCAAGGTTTAAGATTCACTTAAGATTTTAAAGACACTCACAAAACTTTGATATCACTCATTGTGATATAATCTAAATTTTCTTCTATTGATTTTATTTTTAAATTTTATTCGATGTTTTACATCTATAGTAATTTTCTTTTAATTTGTAGCTTGCATTTTTTGGATTGAAAAAAATAATATAAAAACAAATAAATTATACAAAATCAACATAACATGTAATGCATAGAACTTACTTACATTTGCTCAAGAAAATTTTATGATGTTTATTAATACATAGAAAAGTAGTTTGAAACATTAATAGATTGTTAACATATGAATATAATAATTTATATCTATTATATAGACGAAAATATTGCTAGAAAAAATTGATATTATTAAAAAAGTATGTTAAAATATCTGGATATCTGTGAGAAATAAATAAAAATGTATGTAAAGCATATTCAGAAATAATTAATCAATAAAATATTTGATTATTTTCCTTAATTATCACATTTATCTTTATGTTGAAATTTACTAATTGTATATATATAATACTTTAAACATACATATTTTCACTAACTCATAAACTAATTACACTTAGAATCTAGTGTGTTATCTGATATATGTTGTTATTTTTAATCTAGATAATAAAATACTGAATTATTTCACTTTAATTATCCAGTCACATATATTATAATACATCCAATTGTATTTATTGTTCAAAACTCCAACATCACATTTCAATATGAAATTATTAAATTTTTGCAATAACCAATTTTAAAGTCAACTAAATCTATAGTTTTCAAATTTAAAATTTTATTTATTATGTGTTTATCAATAAAGAAGATTCAGATATCATATCTATTTTAATTATTAGATTGTAAATTTTCAAGTATCATAAAAATTTCAAAATAGTTGATAATCACATGTGTAAAATCTAAGATGGTACCAGTTTTAATACAATGTGAACTTCTTCAATATAACATGCAACTTTCTAAGTATTGTATTACTTGTTGAAAATTTAAACTGTCAACATTTCCAATTGATAATGATTATCATGTAGCTATCATTCCATTCATAATGACAATCAATCATATTCAACACGTGTTAAATTTAAAATCTGTTCAACTTTTTCAATTACTTGTAGTCTAGTTGCAATTTTATACTAATTATTTTACTACTAACTAACTCGTTGAGTTTTTCCTATGTAGGCGAGTTATAATTTGTTGAAATATTTATACTTTTAATCAAATTTGAGATTAAAAAGTTTTTTTTTAGCGTTAGATGTATTGACTATTTTTCTTCTGCTTTCAATATATTAATCATTATAGAAGAAAAGATATGAAATTACCATTACGTATCTTATTTTAAAATTAATGTTTAAATCTTTTAACCTTTCTTTATTATAATTTGTTTCAAATAATATCTTATCAATTAAAAATTTTTTTTAAAGTAATTTACTAATACTTTTGTGTAATTTTGCTATATACATTCAATTGATATGAATTTATTCATTTAATGAAAAAGCAAGGTCTCAACATGATATTTGTGTTTCTACTTTTTTTTATAACATGTTTCAATTAATAAAAAAATAAATAATTTTGAATTTACAATAGTTATTTATTTAATATATTGGTATTACAAATTATTATTTTTAAGAACTGACAAATGCAAAGAATTCAATAGTATGTTCAATTTTATAATAATTTCAATGATTATAACCCTATAATTGAAAGTTTATGCCTCAAGTGTAGATAAGATTTACTAAAAAAAATACATTCAAATTTCAAAAAATATAATTGATTGAAAAGCTAAAAGTTTAAATAAAATCATAGACTAAAATAGATGCAGAAAAGTTGAAAGAGATATTTTTTCTCTATGTCAAAGACCTCTTT